CCCGCCGCGGCCCCGGGGCGGGCCACCCGCCCCTCGCGCACGGGCCGCCCGGCTGAAGGCCAAGCAGATGGGCTCGCGGGACCGCGCCGCGTCGCCCATGCATCGGCGACGCGGCGCGATCCTGCGAGCAAGCGGGCGAGCTAGCAAGCAAGCAAGCGAGCAGCTGGGCTCGCGGGATCGCGCCGCATCGCCCACGCATCGGCGACGCGGCGCGATCCTGAGTCCGAGGCTCCGCACGCCGACGCTGCTGGACCCGGCCCGCCAGTGGGGCAGGGCGCCCCGAGAGCCGTATCGGTGTCGCTTCAAGTCTTGAGCGGTACTGTGCCGATGCGGTGCCCACCAGCGCCCACCGCCGCAACGTGCGGTGGCTGGTCTCCGGCGCGCTGGCAGCACGCCTGCACTCTGCTTCGCTGTGTTGCCGCATTGAGGTCAGTTGCCCTCTGTAGCGAAGGGACCTCCTGCCAATGCGCCGTCCAGGCGCTGTGTGCTCAAACACAGTCCGAAAAAATGCATCCTCGTCCCCCTCCGCCTCCTCCTTCTCCTCTTCCTCCTCCTCCTCCTCCTCCTCCTCCTCCTCCTCCTCCTCCTCCTCCTCCTCCTCCTCCTCCTCCTCCTCCTCCTCCTCCTCCTCCTCCTCCTCCTCCTCCTCCTCCTCCTCCCCATGCCGCTACACCTCACGCAAGGTGAACACAGCTAAATGGGCCGTATTGACATGCATGTCGCTATGTCATTCTAGCTTACGCGGAGTAGCCTATGCTCGGCCCCCTAGGACCCCCGCATCTGGCCGTGGCGACGAGAAGCCGCTTGGATGCCAGAGAGGGGCGAACAACGCTTCGATCCTCGAACCCTCCACCCATATTCTTTATTAGTATTCCCCCCTGTCGCAACATCAAACGTGTCCATAGGCTGGGCCAGGCGTGTCGTCAAATTTTCTCTTACAACTAAATCTAACTGTCCCGAGGCTCAAAACTTGAACTGTTACAAGGACGGTGGGCCAGTGGTGTCCAAAACTTGGCTCTCGCCCTAGCGCCGAGCACTTGTGTTTTAGAAGTTCCCGACAGCGACACGGATGGACGGCCTATTGTTTTCTAAATGCGGTTCTTGCCTTGGCGCCGCGCGCATTCTTATTACATGTTTCCAGCAGCTACAAGGATGGAGGCCACTTCTTTGTCAGCATGTGGCGTTCGCTTGAGACGTCGTGACTCCAATGGCCAGAAGTTCCCACTGCGCAACAGCTGCCCGTATGGAGGGCGCAGCTGCCCTTTCAAAAAGGGGGTTGTTGCTCGACAGTTCCGTCACCTTCACTGATGCAGGACAGATGGCATGGCCAGTTCAGTGAGATTGTGCAGCACTTGCAGTGATGAAGGACAGATCCTTTTCCAAACGGGACGATCGTTGAACGGCTCATTGACCTTGAGCGAGTTTCTTTTTTGCTTGGGGCATGACGGGCGCCAAGGCCCCGGGCACCCTCCCACACCAATGACGTAACGCTCCCCCCCCAGTGCGTTCCGGGCACTGCCGCCGTGCGCATCGTGATCCGCACAGGTGTCCGTACCGGAATCCGCATAGGAGTGTGGTCCGCAGTCGTCGTCGTCGTCGTCCTCGTCCTCGTCCTCGTCGTCGTCGTCGTCGTCGTCGTCGTCGTCGTCGTCGTCGTCGTCGTCGTCGTCGTCGTCCTCGTCCTCGTCCTCGTCCTCGTCGTCGTCGTCGTCGTCGTCGTCGTCGTCGTCGTCGTCGTCGTCGCTGCGCGCTCCTTCCGCGAGGGGGCAGCACAGCGGGCCCTCCGCAGGCCGAGGCCTCGCCCGAGCGGCAGGCCCGCGGGGCGCGGTCGCCACACCCAAGGGGGGAGGGGGCGGGCCTCCCGCAGTCGACCACGGGGCGGTCGCCCGTCGCGTGGGGCTCCCTCCCTCCCTCCCTTCCTTCCTCCTTATCCCCCTCCTCCTCCTCCTCCTCCTCCTCCTCCTCCTCCTCCTCCTCCTTCCTCCTCATCCTCCTCCTCCCCCTCCTCCTCCTCCTCCTCCTCCTCCTCCTCCTCCTCCTCCCCCCTCCTCCTCCTCCCCCTCCTCCCCCCCTCTTCCTCCTCCTCCTCCTTCCTTCCTCCTTATCCTCCTCCTCCTTCCTCCTCCTCCTCCTTCCTCCTCCTCCTCCTCCTCCTCCTCCTCTCCTCCTCCTCCTCCTCCTCCTCCTCCTCTTCCTCCTCCTCCTCCGCCTCCTCCCCCTCCTCCTCCTCCTCCTCCTCCTCTCCTCCTCCTCCTCCTCCTCCTCCTCCTCCTCCTCCTCCTCCTCCTCTCCTCTCTCCTCCTCCTCCTCCTCCTCCTCCTCCTCCTCCTCCTCCCTCCTCCTCCTCCCCCCTCTTCCTCCTCCTCCTCCTCCTCCTCTTCCTCCTCCTCCTCTTCCTCCTCCTCCTCCTCCTGGCCCACGGGGCTGCTGGAGGTACAGCGAGCGGCTTGGATAAGGAACACCTGCTTTTCAAAAGGGGCTCGGTCGTTCCTGAGGCCTGCATGCGTCATTTACAGGCCCTCATGAGCTGTTTGTTATGTATCGTTCCTTATGCGTTATTCCTTGGGATAAAAAGGGGGTTCGTTCCTTATTTATCGTTCCTTAGGTCAGGCCGATGACTGTACCTTTTCAGTCAGTGAGGTCGCCCTCCCTACCAGCAGTGGTTCCCCAGTAACCGCTGCTGGTCTGTTATTGTCGCTCGGCTGTGCGGGCGTTGAGCTCAACAAAAGGGCGCCTCCCGCAGCGGCGAGGAGCACCCGCAGAGGGACCGGCGAGGGGCGGACGTGGGCCGGGCTTGCGTGTTGCAGCAGCGTTGACGCCTCCTGGCCTCGCCCTGGTCTGTCTCCCTGCTCCCCCCCTTATCCTCCTCCACCTCCTCCGCCTCCTCCTCCTCCTCCTTCTCCTCCTCCTCCTTCTCACTCCCCCGTCCTCTTTGTGGTATGCTATGCGAATCAATGCAGACCAGTCCGATGCAAAGCAACGCAAAACAGTGCAAAGCAATGCAAGTAAATACGATGCACGACAAAGCAAGGCAATGCGATCAAGAGCAATGCGATCTGACGCAATGCGATGCAAAGCAACGCAACTCGATGCACAGCAACGCATTGCGAATGGAAGCAATGCAAAGCAATGCGATGCGAAGCAGAGCAATGCACATCAGTGCGAAGCAGTGCCAGCCGAACCAACAACCCCAGGACCGGTTGCTTAGAAGAGGAGCAAGGACTCCCAGGTGCAAGCACTACTGTGAAGGCCTGACGGCGGGTGCCGCCGACCCTGAAAGACATCGACGACGACCAGGAGGGGGAGGAGGAGGAGGAGGAGGAGGAGGAGGAGGAGGAGGAGGAGGAGCAGGAGGAGGAGAGGAGGAGGCGAGATAAGGAGGAGGAGGAGGGGGAGATACGGAGGAGGAGAGAGGAGGAGGCGGAGATAAGGGGGAGGAGGTGGAAATGAGAGGAGGAGGAGGGGAGATAATAAGGAGGAGGAGGAGGAGTAGGAGGAGGATAAGGAGGAGGAGGAGAGGAGAGGAGGAGATAAGGAGGAGGAGGAGGAGGAGGAGGAGGAGTAAGTGCAAGCACTATTTGGGGAACGTTGTCGGCTACAGCTCCAACCTGCAGGCGTCCAGGCAGGCCTGCCTCGACGCGCGCAGGCCGCCCGTGCCAGTTCGGAGAGCTCGCGACGTGCCGCCGGCGATGCGGTGCGCTGAAACGAAAGTCTGCCACTCAGAGGCGGAGGAGGAGGAGGAGGAGGAGGAGGTACCCCTACCTCTACCCTTAAAGTCGGGCCTGTCCCTCTACAGGGGGAATATTCATGAATAGTCAAGGAGTAGTCCGCGGACGATGTCTTGACCATTTTTTATAATTTGAGAGTATTTGGGGGGTATTTTTGTTGGTCGTTGAAAATCCCCCTGGAGGGGGACAGGTCCGACTTAACTCTACCCGCTGTTCATGTCGAAGTATTCGAAGGTTCTGTGATTTTTGGGGGGCCAAGATCCGTTAATTTCTTATGCTTCTATTCTGGGCCTCTTGCTGGCCATTAGGGGGCCAGGAGCAATTAGAGACGAGCACAATTAGAAATGAGCGCGATTAGAACTGAACGACGTGTACCCTTTCCTCGTTTTCCCATGTTTGGGCCTCCTCGGAGGCCCTCGTCGCCACCGCTGGATTCTCCTCGAGATCCTGGTCGGAACGCACCCCACGAGAGGTCTGGGGAGTAGCGGTATCGGCACCTGCTGGTTTCCCCAAGCCACTGGGGGAGGGGTCAATAGGTCCAATTGAGCCCACGCATCGAGCACACCGGAGCGCGCCACGTCTGGGAAGCTCTCGTCTCCGTGGCGGTGGAAGGCCGCAGATCGAGGACCGAGGCATGCGGGCGCCCGTCTGGCTCTCCGCGAGGGACGGGGCGCTCCTCCTATCACCCTCCTCTTCCTCCTCCCATCCCCCTCCTCCTGCTCCTCCTCCTCCTTCTCCTCCTCCTCCTCGTCCTCCCCCATCTCCTATCCCCGTCCTCCTCGTCCTCCTCGTCTTCATCCGCCTCCTCCTCCTCCTCGTCCTCCTCCTGCTCCTCCTCCTCCTGCTCCGCGAGGGGGTTCCTGGGGCGTTCTGGGGGACGGAGAGAGCTGGCTCACTGATGCAAGCGGGGGAGTATCACCCCGCCTCTCAGAGGCATTGCGAGCAGCGTGCAACGTGGATGGATGCTGGAAGCACCTGAGGGCGGATGGTATGAGCTACTGGCTCCCTCCTACTCTCCAGAATTCCAACGTCGTGATTTGTCACAACGTGGACACCAGGAGGTCTTCATCCCTTTCCCCAGGATCGGTTTTCGTACCGAGTCCTTTGCTCACGGCCTCGAAGCCAGGTAAGGGCCCTCGGAGGCCGAAACATGCAAAACAACCAATAATCCGTCGTAGATATTATACACTGCGCGGGGAGGGTTGGGTCTCCCTCCCCCTCCTGGAGAAGCGGGGCGGAGGGGAGGAGTCCGTGACAGCCCGCAACGCGGTCATGAAGCTGACGATGGACAGGGTTGGGGAGCCCGCGGACGGGAGCGAGAAGCGCCCGGACGTCTTGATCGAGGGCACGAAGGCGCTCGGAGGGGAGGGAGAGGAATCGGACGCAACGTATTCGGCACGACCATCGCCTTCCATCGTAGGTCGTGAGGCGGTGTCCGTCCACCCAGACCGACCGACGCGCCAAATCTAATTGTGAATGCCACTCCTGGTCCCCGCAACAAGGTGCAGTTGTGCTGCGTGTAGTTGTAGATGTTTTCGAAAGAGTGACCCTTCGCCGGAGCTACAGTACGACCCGCCGAGTAAGAGATCGGCCTGCCAAGGGATGCCCCACGAGAAGCCCGTATCTCCCGATGGGCCCGCGGATCCCCGTGGCACCCTCCGAAGGCCAGGTTCGACACAGGATGTGCCGCAGATTGCGTACAGGAAGCTCGTTCGGGCCTGCTGCACCTCCTCGAAGGAGGTACAAGTATCCCTACCGCGACCCTTCCCTCTTGTGTTCGCCTTTCTGGGGCCTCCTCGGAGACCCTCGTCGCCACCGCTGGATCCGCCCCAAAACTCCTTGGTCCGAGCGCACCCCTGGAGAGGTCCGGGGCAGAGCGGCATCTCTACTTGTTGGTTTCCCCCACTGTTGGTGCAGGCCCCTGTGGGCCCCCCGGTCGCGGAGCGCGGTGCGATACGAGCGGCCTGGCGTGCTCAGGTTTGGCCCCCCACGCCCTGCTGGAGCCGCGCGCCGGGAGCCTCTCTTGCCCAGGGTCGCTGCTGCGCACAGCCGAGGGCAAGGGGAGACACGGTGTCCGCGGTCCGATTGGTTCGGCTGCTTCGCAGCTGGCAACATGCTCGGTCGGTTCGGTCTGGTCGGTTGCTGCGCCGCTGTGTCCTTTTGGGTTGCGTTCGATCCATCGGTCTCGGTCGGTATCGCTTCGGCTTCGTTATCGGCTTGGTCGGTCATCGATGCAGGTGTCACCGTGGACGTTTTCGGGAGAGGAGGGAGGAGGAAGGAGGAGAGGATGAACTTGGATTGCTCTTGTTGGGGGTGGGTTCCTGGAGGCCGTCGTCGCCCCTGCTGGATCCGCCGCGGAATCTTGGTCTGAAAAAGCGCCCCAGGAGAGGTCGGTTGGTCGATTTGAGGGGGGGTCGATTGCAGCGCACCGCTGCCGCCCAAACTTCTGATGCAACGTCTGCCGAGATTGGACGCCAGGGGGGGCATTCAAGCATCTTCCCAGCGGCGGCAAGCCTTGACAAATCCGCTGCAAAACCTCCACCTGAGACTTGGAGATGGCGTGTGGCCCGAGAGTGGACCAGGGGGGGGAGGGGGAGGGGGAGGGGGAATATGATCAATGATGAGTGCGAAGATCGCGTGCGCCACGATTGCTGTTCACTGTGCTCACGCTGCCGCTTTGGGCGTGCACGCGCGCGCATTCTAATGTGCCCTCGGGGGGGGGGGGAGGGGGAGGGGCAAACGAGCGTCGGCATCGCAGGGCGTGGCTCGAACAGACCGTTGAGGGTGGTTTCAGGGGGGGGGGGTCGAGCTGGGGGGAAAGGGAGGGGGAGGCTTGAGCCGAGCGTGTCCCTCTAGAGGAGGACTACTCAAGAATAGTCCAAAAAGCCTCCGGGGGCGATGCTTTGACTACCTGTGGGCCTGTGGGCTCTTTGGGAGTATGTTTGGGGTACTTCTTCCTTTCGTCCAGAATCCCCCTGCAGGAAGACTTTTTTGGTCTGCGAGTCGGGAGCGGGCCCCTTCCGGTCAAGGGCTAAACGGGGCGCGGGTAGCCCTAATTGGGGAGACAGGGCGCGGGCGGGCAGGGCCTCAGGCGGCCAGAGGGCTCAGAGTACAGGCGGTGCCGAAGATCTTGCACAGGACAAGGTACGCCATGGACTGGAGCAGGGGGCGAAGTTCCAGAGGGAGCCCTGCAGGGGACACGCCCGACGGAATTAAGGGTAGGCGGCAGCGGCGGGCTCGAGGCGGATCTCCCGTGGGGTGTGCAGTGCGGCCGATGTCGCCTTCCGCGTCCTCCCCGACCCTCGGGGCGAGGCCTTTGCTTTACGTCGGGCGTGTCCCTCGACAGGAGGAGGATTCAAACATAGTCCAAACATCGTCAGGGGACGATCGTTGTAGTGTTTTGTATATGTGTTTTGTTGATTGTTTGGGTATGCTTCATTTTTCCCAGAATCCGCCTGTAGGGGGACATGCCCGGCCTAACGTTGGCTTTCGGCGATGCTCCGAGAGCCCCCTCGCCTCGTGCTGCAACGGGCCCCCCCTGTGGGATGTTCCTCCGAGCCTGTCGCAGCAGCATGCGTCCGACAAGACATGAGGTGCTCTGGAGCTCCGTCCCGTTCCGTTCCTCCCCCTCCCCTTCCCCCTCTTTAGCTGCATGGCTCCCCCCGCGCACGTGTAAAAAGTGTCCTCGTCCTCCACCGCCGCCGCGTCCGTCTGCTCCCCTCCCTCCCCCCACCTCCACGACCTCATCCCGCCTCCTCCTGCTGGAGGTACAGCTGCGGGCCCACATCGACAAGTCTGACAACACCGAAATCATGACGGACATTTTCATTGCTTGGGGCCGCAAGGTGGAGAAGGAGGTAAATCTGCCGCCAGAAGCCATCGCCCAGGCTTTCGACGACCTGTACAGAGAGGCGCAGACTCTGATCGGGCAGGACGGCCTTGGGATGGGAATGTGCACCAGGAGCTGGGGCATAGACTTTGGTTCTGGCCGCCATCGTGTGCGAATGTTTCGGAGGAGGAAGGGGGAGGAGGAGGAGGAGGAGGAGGAGGAGGAGGAGGAGGAGGAGGAGGAAAAGGAGGAGGGACGAGGTGCGAGGAGCGAGGTGCGAGGAGCGAGGTGCGAGGAGCGAGGAGTAGGAGGACAGGGGCAGGTAGGTGGAGGATGGGGGAGGCGGTTACGCCACCCAAGCCCCAGAGAACCTCTTTCCTCGTCGTCGTCGTCGTCGTCGGCTTTGCCGTCGCCGCCACAGTTGTCGGCGTCGCCCTCGTCGTCGCCGCCGTCGCTCTCGGCGCCGCCCTCGTCGCCATCGCCGGCGTCTTCGCCCCCCTGCACCGCACAGGACACGGCCGCGGCCACCGCGTCCATCAGGTCGATGCTGGCCGCGATGCCGCACGCGGCGGCCGCTCGGGGTCCCCCGCCGCCTCCGCCGCAGGTGCCGTCGTCGTCATCGTCGTCGTCGTCGAAGTTCGAAGCTCGAGGCTCGAGGCTCGAGGCTCGAAACTCGAAGATCCAGGCTTTTGAGCGCATTTCCCATATTTCGGCCTCCGTGGGGCTCCACGTTGTCGTCGCCGCCGTATTCGTCGTCGTCGCCGTCGATGGGTCGAGCTTCGAGGGGGGAAGGAGGGCGAGGACCGGGAGAGGGAGGGTGAGCGGGAAAAAGAGAGGGGGGGAGGCAAGCTACGTGCGCTCGCGCCACATCTAACATCCGACCCCTGCCACATATCCCTTCCCATTGCGTTGAATCCTTCTCAACTCACCGACCGGGGTGTGCAAGAGGACCTTGATATTCAAAGTGGTCCTCCGAGGAGAAAGAAGAGGATGACGAGGAAGGAGGAGAGGAAGAGCAGCAGAAGCAGGAGCAGGAGGAGTAGGAAGAGCAGGATAACGAGGGGAAGACGGGAGAGGGTAAGGAAGGGGCGGCAGTGACGAGGAGCGAGTCGGATGCCCCAAAAGTGTGGCCCGCGCAAGAGTGAGAGCACCGTTCTGAACGACGGGAGAGCAAAACTCGATAACTACTGGATTGTGACCAGGGCTGCAGCGGGAGCATCATATGTCATGTGCCTGGGCCCAGGGGGCCTTGGGCCTGGGGCTGCCTCACTCTTCCAGATTTCCCCCGCGTCCTCTGGGTACCGGAGTCCTTGACCCCCGTTTGGGGCCTGTTCGGGCGCTCTCAGAGGGTTCCGAGAGGCCGCGAGACCCTCCCGAGCCTGCCCCAGGGAGTTCCCAGAGAGCACCAACCATTGTGTATTTCGAAGACAGGTAAACAGATGAGGACGACGCTGAGGAAAAGGAGGAGGAGGAGGAGGAGGAGGAGGAGGAGGAGGGAGGGCGAGGAGGAAAAGGAGGAGGAGGAAGGAGAGAGGAAGTCAGAGGAGGAGGGTGGGCAAGAAAGCTCAAAGGTCACTCAATGTGAGCCAAGACAGACAAATCATCCCAAGGACACCCAGTATGTCCAAAGAAGCGCCAAGGTTGACACAAGCTGGCCACAGGCGGCGAGAAGCATTCTTTCAACGAAGAATGCCCAAATATTTTCTTACGTGTTTTGGGCTGCCCATTTTTCAACGCCACGACAGCTTCGGCGGAGCCAAGGGGGCGACCAGGAGCGCCCCAAGAAGGACCGAAGAGGTCTCAAGACGACCCTGGACAATCCCAAGCGGGCCCCAGGGGGTCCTCCAGAGGAGAGCGGGCCCTCGCGCTGGCGCCCTCGTGGAGGCGCCCGATGCGGGGGAGCCCAGCCGCAGCGCGACGGGCTCGGGCCTCTGCGGCGGCAGCGGGGTGGAGGTCCGGCCCCTCCGCGGATGGCGCAGCGTTGGATACGACTCCCTGCCTTGGCATCGCTCGGACGTGTGCATTTTTCCTTCGGCGAGGGCCATCGAGGAGCATCCTTGATCATTTGGCGAAAAACCCACGCACGAAACCGGCAAAAAACACAGGGAATGGACGTCCGAGCGATGGCGAGTTGCAAGCTTCACCTGGTGATAACATTTGAGAGGCTGGCCGTGTCCGCTACCCGGTGGTGGCGCTCTTCTCCGATGGCCCGCCCCGCCGCTCTGCCTGGTCGATGTGGCCGGCGTCTGCGACGCCGCCGCGCTCGCGCCTGGCAGCCCCAGGCCCGGGCGAGCCTCGTCGCGGCCGTCGTGGCCCCCGCACCGTGGGAGTGCCCTGGTGGCCCCTCCTGGCGCTTGGCCAGCTTGACGCCCGGGGGTGTGGCAGGGCCGCTCTCTGGCAGGCACTGCGGACGGCGCGTTTGGCCCGAGGGTCAAGCAGTGGCGAAGCGTCCCAGTTCGCCTGTAGGCCTACCAAAGAATGGTGTGAGAACCTGTTGTGGTCTGCAAGAAATGTTCTTGGAACATGTCTGGCTGAGACTGTCTTGCTTTAACGCATCGGACATATGCTCTGAAGGCGTCGCCTTTGTTCTTAGAACATTTTTGGGTTCTGAGAACATATCGTGGTAGGCCTATAGGAATGCCAGGAAGGTCGGTCCCTGCTCAAAAGGCGGCCCCATGTTCGGAGCCGTGCTATGGGCCTGGTTTGGATCAGCCCCACGAGAGAGGTGGCTTGGTTCAGGCACGCGCAGGTGCGGCTTTGTCGGCACCTTCGGCCTGCGTGCGCGGTGGCATTGGGGCGGCCGTGCATGGGGCGCCTTCAGGGTTGAACCTCTGCACGTGGTCGCCTTTGGCAGCTCTCATGTTGGCGTCGTCCTGCGCGCGCGCGCCCTTCGGCACTCCCTGAACCTGGTAGTTCAGGGCTTGCGCCCTGTCCCGCCCCTTTCTCCTGCGGTCGCATGCCGGGCGAATGCGATGGAGACGCCGAGGACGAGTCGCACCCCTGCGAAACGTGACATCGGGAGCTGGTGCTCCGCGCGGGGATGTCGGCGTGGACGTGATCATGACGGTTCGGCGCGTGGAGCCCGTGGGCTCCGTCGGGAAGGCGGTCGGGCGTTGTCGGTCCTCGGCTTCTGTTGCCCAGTCGGGGCACGAGCTTGTGACAGCGGATTGCCGCCCCTCGCCACCTGGTGGTGCCTTGGCTCTCGTGGCGCCGGCTCCCCCAACCCTTGGCGGCGTTTTCTGCGCCGTCTGACGAGCGAACAACACACACACCCATACCCATGGGGGGGTCGTTGGGAGGAGGACTGGCCATGGGTATGGGTGCGGGTTGTCGGACCCTGGGGAACGCTCCCGTTCGAGCGGGGACCCCCACCCGACAACACGCACCCATGGCCCTCTCCGACCCCCCCTATGGGTATGGGTGTGTGTGTGGTGTTGGTTCGTCATCCTGGCGGCGTTTTCTGCGCCGTCGTCGTGGCGCGCTGCGCTGCCCCCGCCTGGTGGCAGCTGGGCGTGGGCCGCGTCGGTTGCAGCGCGGGTGCCCGCGGTCGCCCGGCCGGCTCTGCTCCGCGGCCTCGACGCGTGCCCGCTGCGGTGGATGGCAGTCGAGGGAGGAAAAGCCACCCGGGCCGGACAACTGCCAGGAGGGGAAAAATCACACAGACACAATTGATCGTCCACTCCCAGGACGAGATGAGAAAATATGGGGATTGGGGGGGAGGGCAAGAACCTAGAAAATGTAGGGAAATATGGGGAGTCCTTTTATTTGCGTGTATTTAGTTGTGTGTCCTGGGGCCCCTTCAAATTGGCGTTTACTAAACTGCCTTGGGCGTTTACTACACAGCCCTGCCCTCTTCGATTCCTTCCGTGGGGAGCGTTTAGTAGACGGCTTCGCGTGTCGGGGTGGTTATTACGGGGGTGGATGTTCGAACCAAGGCACAACGAGCCAGGGGGAGCGAGTCCGCGCCAGCTGGGCCTGCCATGGGAGGAATGGCCCAGCGCCCCTCGCAGTGCGGGGTCCAGGCAGGCATCCGCGGCGGGGCGGAAGGCTCGAAGATTCGGCCGTTGCTGCTCCCTGCGAGGACGTCGAAGACGAGCGAGACGGGGCGCAGCGCTTGGTCCCTCAAAAGTAGTTCGACGTCAGTCCTGCGTTCTGCGTCTTCGTGGACCCTGCGTGCTAGCAGTTCCGTGGCACTTCTGCCCTTCTGACCGTGACCGTTCTCGTTTGCGTTTCGGTCATGCCCGCAAGGACGCATCGCCGGTGCCCGAACGGTGGATCCCAAAGGGCCACCCTCTGAAGATCCCCGGCGGGGCGGATGTCCTCCGCGACGCGGTCGGTGCGTTCCTTTGTCCCGGTCTGGAAACTGGTGCGCACTGGTCGCTGGAGGAGCTGGAGGAGAAGGAGGAGGAGTTGGAGGAGGCTTGACTTTGCCAGTGCGCTTCCGTTTGCCAGAGGCAATCATTGTGAGTGGCACCATGCTTGATGACATGCGGCTGGAGCAGTCCGTCAGCGTCGTCTGGGTTCTCGATTGGGGTCGTCTGGGATTTCTTGGTCGCTGTCCTGGATGGGGGTCGCCATGGTCCTGGTGGTCCACGATGCCGCCTTTGTCCGCTGTGCTTGGGTAAGATGGACTCGTGCCAATCTGCCCTAGCGCGTCCGCAGCGCGTGCCCGTTCGACAGGGGAGTTGGGCGCAAACGTATTGGGATGCTCATGCGTCGTCTCTCTGCCAAAGGGTCTGTGCTGTCGCGTGGCTGGGCGTGCCGGCCCTCGCCGCGGCCGCTGCTGGCAGTGTCAGACCTCGACCGCCTGGTGAGCTGGTGGAGACGGCCCCCGTCGCTGATGCGCACGCAGTAGTGGCGCTGAGTGTTGTTGGGTGGGGCGCGGCGACCAGCTGATCCACTGCGGCCAAGTGCTATGATCGCAATACGTGGTGGTCCTGGTGGGCCCTCGTCCTCGTTGGCGCTCGTAGGTGCCGACGTTGTCCGCGACGTTGCATCAGAAGCCGCAGCGGTTGTAGTCTGCGCGTCGTCTGTAGTGGCGAAAGGCCATCGATAGTATCCATTGTTGCTGCGTGGACGCGACCGGCCCCAACTTGGTCAGGGGACAGGCATAGGGGGGGGGGGCGCATCGACCCCCAATTGCCCATTCATCGCCAATAGGGGCCCGATAGCCCCAACCTGCACAGTAAGATGCGGATTTGCTACCAGGGGTCTATCGACGATCTATCGGCGATGTATCGCCGATTCCAGGTCGATGCATCCCCCCCTGTGCCATTTCCATCCTATCGTGGCCCCCCATCGGGACTGGTATCTCAGTAGCTCTTGGCCGCCGACCGCGACGCGCCGCGTGAGAGCGCGCGAGTGGCCGGCCGCTGTCACGGGGCCGAGGCGCGCGGCGGCGGCGGCGCGGATGGCGCCCTTCGCGGGCGCGCGCTGGGCGGCGAGAGCGCTTCTGAGCCAAAAAGCTGCGGAGGCCCCCCCGTCACCCTTGCTGAAGCTATGCGCGCCGATGCACTGTTCATTTCTGATTCTTCGAAGGTTCTTTGAGTTTTTGGGGGGCCAAGATCCGTTCATTTCGAGTTGTTCTATCCTGGGCCTCTTCCT